TCACCCAGGCTCCTTTGTATGTGAGAGTTCACGTAAGCATGTGGTTTTGTGACATGGATTACAAAGACATAGTATCCTGTTAAAAGAACAGTCTGTGCCAGATGATTCTTCTCTGGTATTGCCCATCTGAACATCAATCTCAAAGCTAATAGCCATGTATCTACTTATAACAATATCTAAATTTGTAAATAAGTATTTATCTTATCATGTAATTAATTTAATGATGTATACAAACCATATTGGGGATATGATCAAAATTCCTAGCCCTCTTTACTGATTAATTAAAATTATTTATCCTAATGTAGTTATACCAGTTATCTTCATTTTAGTCTGAATTTCCCAGCTTTTTAAAATTCTGGCCTCCATTTTACTCATCATGTTCTTGTTCCATCCTGTTCAGAGATGTTTACCACGACTCAGCTGTAGCCTTGGTCTTTGAAAACTATATCCGCTGTCATTCTAAGGTGACTGTGCAAAAGGTGTTAAAGCACATCCTTGATCTTCTCTCCACAGATGGTTTCAGTTCTCTTAACAGAAGCATTCTGTTCTGTTTGCAGTCAACATTCTACCCCCATTATGTTTGAGAACATGGGTCACATTCTAAAACTGATTTTGTGTTGAAAGAAGATTTTAGTATGATCCCGCTGGGATTTTGATTGGGGTTCAAGTTGAATATGATTTCCCTTATTGAGCAGATATGCAGTGGGAAATTGTCACCCCTCCTGTGGGATAATGTCTTGAATTCCTTCCAGCAGCACCTGATAACATTAGTTAAATGTTCAAAGTCAGCAGACACATGGGCCACATACACAAGCATTACAGCATTGGCCCTTTACAACAACCCTGTAGATAGCATTGCCCCTGCTTCAAAGGCAAGGGAGTTGACTAAAATGTAAAAAGCAAGCAAGGAACAGAATCATTATGAGAACATGGGTCATCTGAGTTTTGTAAGGCTGCTTCCTATTGAACATATGGAATGTCTGCACAGCACAAAATCCTTACAACATTGGCTACTTTCCACTTCAGCTGGGTCTTAGTCTTAAAGCGTGTTTTTTTTTAATTATTGGAAAACTACATAATTTATATTGGTTTCTGTTTTCTCATTTTGTTAGTTTGATTAGTCACATTACATAAACTACCTTGCATTGGGCTTTTCTATGGAAAAGATCTGTATAGAGTGCTAAAAGAAAGGATGTCAGTTTGAGGACCGAGGCGCACCTGACCCAAATCATGGTACTTCCAAAGGCCTCAGCTGAATGCAAGAACTGGACAATCACTACAGAGGACAGAAGAAATGTTGATGAGTTGGAATTTTGTTATCAGTAAAGGATTTTGGCTGTACCGTGGATTGTGAGAGGAATAGATAAATCTATGGTGAAAGTTGTACAACCAGAAGGCCCCTTAGAAGTGAGAATGGTGAGTCATATACTTGTATCAGGAAGGACTAGTCTCTAGAGAAGGACATGGTGTTCATTAAAGTAGAACGCCAGTGAGCAAAGAAAGATCTTCAACAAGCTCTATTGACACAGTGCCTACGACCACTGGTTCAAGCGGAGCAACAGTGGTGGGTGTGGCATAGGAGTGGGCAGCCTTTCGTTTGTTGCAAATAGGGTTGGAAAGTCCCGGGATGGCACATAAAAGAGCATGCATTAAAATTGTACATATATTTAGATGGGTTTCTATAATTTATGTTTTTGTGTTCTGAACATTCTGTCTCGGTAACTCAGTATTTTTATGACTGTATTCTGTGTCTTAGCATCTCATACGGCAACACTCCTCTTTACTTTACTTTCTAAGTTTTTTACTGGATACTTTTATTACATTTCTTCTTGTACTTTAATTTTAAAATCATTTCTCATATCTACCTGCAGGGTAAACTAAATCTGCATGTTAATTTGGAGGAAAATTAAATGACATCAGTTTGAACCTTTTCCTTCTGCCCTTTACTCAAGTCATTTTTTCTAAGCTCTCAATCGTGTTTTGGAGGTTTGACTATAACTGATGTTCCTGCACATACATAATGAATTCCAATGATGTGTCAACATCTTAATGATGGACTACAAGAGCTTGCTCTTGCTGGTTAAACAGAAAAAGTTACTTAAAATCTGTTGGATAATTTAAGAATCTGCAGGTGCCCTCAAGAACCAGACTCAAGGCGAGACTGCAAAAAAAAAAAAAAAAAAATAGGGACCAGAACCATCACAGAAAATTCTGACAATAAAACACACACTAGTGGCCACCATAGAGGACAAGCAGTTCAAGCTGCAGCCGCCGAATCTACAGCAGGAGCTCAACTACGTGACAGGCACCATTTCTTCAAGCACAACGCCATTTGCCTTTGTGTTCTGTTTCTTGTAGTGGAGAGAACTCTCTAAGCAATATCACTAATAGCAGGAACATAGACATATTTTTCTTATTCCTGACATTAAAGGACGCATGTATAGAGCCTTACCTTTATAAACTGGTCCAGGGAATGGAAAGGAAGCTGTCTTTAATTCATATTTTGTTGAGATATGATGGGGCAGTTCTAGTCTGTCATAAGGGTTGCTGTGAGCCCAAGTTGGGGTCAATGGCACTTCACAAGAAGTCCAACTGTGCCACCTAGATTTCTGCATTGTAGGTGAGCAGCTGCTGATCCAATGTGTAGCAGATAGACATGTGCTTAGTTTTAATGTTATTTGCATTTTATAGGGATTGAGTTTTGAAATTTTATCAGCTATTGCTTGGTCAGATACCCATATGCTTAGAACAGATAACCTATTACTGTGATATAGAAATATATTTCCTAATCTTAAACCATATTTGTATTCATGAAACAACGTTGATTCAATCATGGTGAAAGAATTTCAGTGTGTGGATTTTAGACTCAGGTTCTGGAATCTGACAGCCTGCGTGTCAGTCTTTGCTCTGCCATTACTATTTATTATGACCAGAGATAAGAAGCTTAGATTGGGAAGATGGCAATAATACCGATAGCAGAGTAGTGTGAGAATCATTTCAGAAAATGTATTTCAATACAGGATATACTACAGAAAATGTATTCAAATAACAGGATATACTACAGAAAATGTATTCAAATAACAGGATATACTACAGAAAATTTATTCAAATAACAGGATATACTACAGAGTGACTGTGCAATTAGACATGGATGGTTACCAGGAAAAGGGAGTGAGAAAGCATGATTTATGCAGCAGAGACTGGATTTTTTGGATAATAGGAAAAGTTCCATCAATTGTAGATAAAATGAGCACAGTACAACTAGAGGGTACAGGCCCATTGAGAGATGAGTAGGTACAGATGCATACTTAAGTGAGAACAAATAAAGGTACTGATTGAAAAAACAAGAAGCGAAATCTTCCACCTAGTCAACGCCAACTCGTAGAGTGTACCTAGGACAGAGTAGAACTGCCCCTTTGAGTTTCTGAGACTTTAAATCTTTCCAGGGTGGTTGTGGGCTCGAATTACTAAGCCATCAGGGTGCATTAGAAATATTACAGATAAGTGCAAATAAGAATGTCTGGAGGTGGGCAAATATATTTCCTGAGGACACAATTACAGATATTCCTCAGATATAACCAAATGCCATCCAAACCTAGTCTTCCAGGTTTAAATTTTTAGGACCCTAATCTTATGAGACTACTCAGTAGATTGGTATCATGTAGTGTACAAAAATCACGATCTACATCTTAGTTACGTAAGTACCATTTTAAGCCATAAGAACATTCAAGCAGCCACCAAAGTCACACCTAGGGGCCTTGAGTGTCCACCAGCCAAACCGAACTGCAAGAGCCACAACTTCATCTGCCCTGAGTCCATTAGGCTTAGCTACCACCTCTGAGTATTCTGGCCAAGGTCACAATAATTTGTGGTAGAAAGTAAATGGAAAGGGGAGGGGAGAGGAGCAGCAAAGCTAGGAGAGTAGGAAACAGAACCCCTGAGACGACAGCTCTGAAATACTCGAAGCCTAGTACTGACCCTAGCTTGAGATCAACTTTTCATGACACAGCCAAATGGCACAGTATTACATGTAAGAGCTATCAAAGACCAACAGTCACATTGAGACAATAAGGGGGCGGCAGAACCAAAAGTACCTGAAAGGGAACAATCACAAATAATTAATGAGAATGCAGACAGGCTGTGTGTTACATGGAACTAATGCCCCTGAACAATATGTGTGGAAATGATCATTTGTGATCCTAACTCACTTGGAAACCTTTCACCAAAAACTGAATAAACTATCATTTAGGAAAATAACAGGTCCTTGGTTGTCTGTTAATATCATGCTGATTTTATTAATAATGTACGAATGATACTTGCAGAATAATATTTATACGTGAGATTGACCTGTAGTTTCCTTTTTAGATGCCATTTCTGTTAATTACCTATTATACCGTTGTGATATTGTGGCTATGTTAGTTTTAGCAAATAAACTGGAAAGCTACTTCTGTACTCTAGAAACCATTAAATAACATCTAAGCTTCTTTTTAATGAAGTAATAAAAATGTATCAATTGAACCATCATTGCTTTTGTTTCCCTTGGATATATGTCTTTGGCATTATTTCCACTTTTTTCATTTCCACTTTCATTTTTTTTCATTTCCACTTATTCATCTTTTCAAATGTTCCAATTAATTTTAATCACTTGTATTTTCTTGGAAGATGATTTCCTACCATCCAGTAGTAAGTCCAAATATAGTATAACAGATTTGTACATAATATTGTCAAACATTATCTCAAGTTGAGTTAAAATCTGTTACTTTCTTTCTTATCATTATTACAACATTGATACTTGTTATTCTAAAGTTTGCAAAAATAATAATTTCATTATGAGTCATGAATGGATAATTTCTAGAATATTATCAATGAGCAACTGAATTCAATATGCAAGTATTGGTACATTTTAATTTGTACTCATTAGAGTTTAATGTTAATATGCAAATTTACTTTTTTGCCAGAATTCCATTTTTAAGGATATTGTGGTTTTGTGCTTTTTGCAGAACATGGTTGGAGAGTGGTCCTTGCCAGAAGAGATGGCTGATAATGCTCTCCCCGCCAACAATAGCATATTGGGCCATGTGCTTCACCGGCTCATAGAGAAGACCCTTCCTCCTCCAGTGGAGCCCACACTACCTGAAGTGCCTTCATTTACTATTAAGGGGTGCTTGTTGGGAAAAACATTCAGTGGGAAAACTACCAGTCTGAAGTCTCTACAAAAAGGTAGAATTTCTGTATTTCTTTCTTTTTCATTCTTTGGGTTTTATTTACACTGACTGTAGCTACCAATAACCATGTAAATGTAAATAAAATATGCTATTTTGAGAGTTCTATGTCAAAGGTTATAGTAGGATGGTCATATTTATTATCTAACCCAGAACACTGCAGAGAATATAGAGTCATAAACTGGATCGGTCCTTTGAACCTGGTCATATACTTGTTCTATATAATGATGTCACACAGGATGAGGAGAAATCATAAGCCTTTACATTGTTCTCATGTCATTTTTATTAGCAATAAAATGGGAACTTAATAATCTGTCACAAACAGCAACCCACTTAAAATAGTAAATGTTTGAATACATTAATATCTGCTAATTTCTCACTCTCTCTTTAATGAATCTTGGCCTTTTTCCACTAAAAGTACAATTACCGGTGTCCATCTGTTTCCTTAGTTTTTCTTTAGGAGTCCTAAGTATGACTGTTCCTATTGGAAAGCAAACTTTTCACTGAGATAAGTTCTTGTACCTACTTCAAGGCAGGCGGGTGGTTGGGTCATAATTGGAATGATATTGGGATCAGTATTAGTACATTCAGGGATTCATAGGGATGAGTTCAAACAGACTATGTATAAAGCATTGAATGTAAAACACGATCTGTTCTATAAGCCATCACCTAAAGCACAATAAAACACTTTTTGAAAAGAAAAGTGTTTGTCAAAACAGCAATGAGATACCACTGCAGGGTACGGATCATCACACAAACAGAAAGTACGAAGAATTGGCAGGAATGTGGAGAAACTGGAACCCTCATCATTGTCAGGGAGAGAGGTACATGGTGCAGGCACCGGAAACCAGTTAGGCAGCTCCTCGGTAAGTAAGATATATTTGGCCCAGCAATTCCACATACCCAAGGGGGCTCCCAAAAGTTCGTGGGGAAAAAATGAAATAACAACATCACGTGTTTTTTCCATGGACTCCTTAATGTCCTCATGTATGCCCCCACAAAAAGGGTAAAAACAGATACACAAAAGTATGTATACATATGTTCAGAGCAGCACCATTCACAACAGCCCAAATCAGTAATCCCAATTTACATCAGCTAATGAGTGTGATGTATCCATACAGCGAGTATTCCTCAGCCACATCACGGAGGGACCTTGAGAACATTGTACTCTGTGAAGCCAACCAGATGCGATTGACTCCGTCCATTCATGTGAAGTGCCCACGATTGGCAAACCCATAGAGACAGGAAGCAGATTCATGGTTGCAGGGTCAGGTGGGAGTGAGGTGGAAAAACACTGCTAAACATGAGCTTCCTTTGGGAGTGAAGAACATGTCCAGAACTGGGTAGTGGCAAGGGCTGCAGAACACTGGGAATGCGCTAAAGCGGGACTGGATTACACACTGTGAAACGATGCTTCTGTGCTCCGCGAATTTTACCACAATTTAAAGGCAGCTTCCCACAAAGGACAGTCCCAAGTATCTCGAAAGACAGTCAGTCTTTCAGGAGGAGCCCAGCACGTAAGGATACTGTTGTCGATTTCCCAAATGAAATAACAATGAACTTTCACATGTTAGACTTCCCTATTCAGATCCTTTCTATTGACACGCTTGTCCAAGACGCTATTCAAGCCTTCCATGATCAGGAAGTGGCCAGTGAGGGCCCAGCAGGGAATCAAGAAGCTGAGGAAAAGGATCTTCCAGGTTTGCAAGCTGATGACAAAGCAAGCCAGGCAAGTGGGGTTGCAGGTTGTATTTCTGCATCTGGTACAGTGACCCTTTGAGGGCAAGAGGAATCTAGGTGACTACAAAACCATGGGTTGGCAAACGTTTTCTATAAAGTGACAGGAATAAATATTTGAGGTTTCGTGGGTCAAGAAGCCACTCAAGGACCGCAGTCTCCAACCTCAGAGTCCCTAATGGGTAGATGATGACAACTGTTGGCTTCGGGAGCCGCTGGAGAAGCAGGTGCTAAAGGGGAAAGGAAGAGAAGCAGAGAAGAGCATCCACTTACAGGCTCACAGTACCACCCCTCAGCTAAGGGCCCCAGTCTGTTGAGTTTTGTTTTCCCTTTGGGTCACTGTTCAATTATTTGATTAACACAGTCCCGTAATCTATTTTGTTATATTATTGCATGAAGACTCTAGAGCAGTGGTTCTCAACCTTCCTCATGCCACGACCCTTTCATACAGTTCCTCATGTTGTGGTGACCCCAATCATAAAATTATGTTCGTTGCTACTTCAAAACTGTAATTTTGCTACTGTTATGAATCGTAATGTCAATATCTGATATGCAGGATATAGTTTCATTGTTACAAATGGAACATAATTAAAGCATAGTGATTAATCACAAAAACAATATGTAATTCTATATTGAAAAAAATTCATTTGTAATTACAAAGAAATGAAATGTTTTCTTGAAGCATGGCGTAGCCTGGTACTTGTATGTGGGTGTATCTGCATGTGGGCAGACCTGCCTAGAGACAGATAAGACCATCAGAAATATGTGTTTTCTGATGATCATAGGTGACCCTTGTGGAAGGGTCATTTGACTCCCAAAGGGGTCGCGACCCACAAGTTGTGAACCACTGCTCTGGAGTGTACTATACCATCACCTGGAGTTGATGTGAGCCAGGTACCACATTTTACAGAGAGGTAATAAAGACTGTAAATATGACTTGGTTTGCTCTGTTTATAGCATATGTTGGTAGCTGTGCTGTGACTGTTGTTGTTAGTTGCGTTGAATTAGCTCCGGCCCATAGCAACCCTACGCACAATAGAACGAAACATTGCGTGGTCCTCAGGCATCCTTACAGTTGTTCCTACGCCTGAGCCTATTGTTTCAGCCATGGTGTTAATCCATCTCCCAGAGAGCTTTCCTCATTTTTTGCTGACCCTCTACTTTACCAAGTAGGATGCCTTTCTTCAGAGCCTTGTCTCTCCTGACAATATGTCCAAAGTATGTAAGAAGAAGTCTTGCCATCATTCCCTCTAAAGAGCATTCTGGCCACTCTTCTTCCAAGACAGTTATGTGTGTCCTTTTTAGCAGTCCAGGTTACTTTCAATATTCTTTTCATTCTCATAATTCAAATGAATCAGTGTTTCTTCAGTCTCCTTAGTCAGTGTCCAACTTTGATAGGCATATGAGGCGATGGAAAATACCATGGCATGGGTCAGCTGTACCTTGGTGTGCTGTGATTGGAACAGGATATTGCATGTTTTTAATGTAGTCGTCTGAATACGTACCATATTGCCTTTGCAATTGAATAACTTAGCATGTTATTTATGTGGGCCATAAAATAAGTACTTTTTAAATATACATTATGAGGATAAGTGGGTAAAATCATCTGTCTCATGTGAGTAGCACATCTTCAAGTCTAGCCAACAGACAATACCTGTGGTGGTTTACTTATTCCTCTATGTCTGTGAATGACACCTCTGCTTGGTGTTCATGGACTTGTTATTTCTTAGTTTATGTTATTTCATAAACTTTTAAGCATCCATTGTATAACAAAACTGACAGTTACTATATTTTACATACAATTGAAAGCCATTTGAAAGATAGTACACTATGAGTTACTGGTGCTTGTATATGTGAAACTATCATTCAATTTTGTGTCTTTCTGAAAACTGTAATTTAGGACAGAAATACCAGTCATCAGTATCAATCCATAGTTTAGATATAATAGTGGATTTTCCTCAAACCCCTTTTTTCCAGAAATAAAATTAGAAATGTTAAAGTATAACAATGCTAAAATCTGTTCCTTTGTGTGTTTTCTTCTTCAAAGGATCAACAAAATACCACTTTGGACAGTCAGTTTTCAAGTGAAGCAGGATCAGAAATTAAAGGTAAACCTATACTTACAGATGATAGAAAAATCCATCTCCCAGCCTTTTCTGTAGAGACACAGACAGAGTATGTGTGCAGGAGCACAAGTATGCAGGGGTGCTATGTAGTTCTCTACATGGTCCTTCGGCCCTGACCCTTGTCTGTAGCTGCGGAGTCACAGCAATGGAACCTTTTCACCCTCCAGCTTCAAGAAATCGCCTATGTTTTGTTGTTATGAAAACAGAATAAATCGCCTTCACAGCACCTGACTTCCCTGGGAGGTAGCATTTTCTTATTAGCACTATTCAGGTCTATGTGAATGCATGCACTGAGGTATCCTGGGGCCGCGGGAAGCGGGGCTGTCTCTTTTTCTCCAACCCACCAGAACAGTATGTTTGAAGAAGTAACTTTATTCCAACTCTGAGCAAGGCAAATAGAAAAAAAAAAAGTACTTTCCTAAGCTAACAAAAATCTCATCTCTTGTGGGATCTGGGCTTTTGTCCCTCAGATCCTTTGTGTCACCATTGAAGGAAAACAATGATAAGTCTGAAACATCTTTTCTATTTGTGATAGTGAAGGTGTTGCCATATCAAATTGCTTCCTTGTATTCTGGCATAAACTCAGATCTTCCTCTGACATCCTTATTGTCATCACTGTCAGGAAATGTACATCTTCAATATGAGCTCTCAACTCGAGCAGAGAGCTTATTTGTTTGATCATTTTTGCAAGCTTTTGAAAGGATATTTCAGTCCCCCTTCTAGTTACGAGTTCCATGAGCCAAAACGTTTCATTATTTTTCCTAAACCAATTTAAGTGCCCATATGACATACATTTTGTTATGTCCGTCTAATTATGAGGGAAAGATGAAGATTCCTCCTCGCATAAAGATGTCACAGTCTTGGAAACGCATGGTGCAGCTTTACCCTGGCCTGCAGGACTGCTCTGAGTCCGAAGTGACTTGATGGCAGTGGATTCGGTTCTGGATTTTGAAACCTAATTAATTATAAACTAAAATCTCATTTTCAAAAAGGATTTCACTAAAAACCCCTGTGACTTCTAGGACTGTCTGCTTTGAAACATTCTACCCATCTATAATGTGATAACCCAGAAAAACACGTGTCATCAATTGCATTTCTAATTTTTAGAAACTTGACACCCCCCCCAAAGAAGTATGCAAACTTGCTAAGCTAGTTCTACATCAGAAGCAAGCATTTAGCAAACGCCAACCCTCACAAGGCCAGTTGTCGCATGAAGGTAAAGACAGAAGGTGGTGACTTTATTACTCTCCTCTTCTGAATAAATATATCAGTCAAGGCTCGATCCAGTGACCCATCTGTCTGAAACCAAAAAGCTCAAATACTGACCTACTTGTTGGTTAAAAATCCTGAAACTTTGTCCTTATTGCTTTGTTCTTATTAATTCCTAGATCCTGATACTAATGAAAACCCTGACGCTAAAAAGGTCCAAATCAGTGATAGTTTCCATGAGGTAAGTAATGTAATATGATGTGGGCCATTCGTATTTCAAAAGCATTCTAATCTATCATGTTTTGTAACTTCAAATGGAATAAAATATAATATATACCTTTTGGGTTTTAAAGAAATTTTGATGCGAAAATACTAGCTAAAGATCTCCCAAATCTAAACTTACTGTATAGTTTACAAAGTGGTAGAAATTGCCATTCAGTTTTTCAGGTGAGAAGTGGGAAGCATATGTATTTCTTTCATGTTTGGACTCGGACCAGATTTTCTTCATGTTTTTGTTTAGACCAGAATCCATCACCATCACCCCACTATGCACTTAAGGCATCCTGTGTGTCAGAGTAAAACTGTGCTCCAGGAGTTCTCAGTGATTTATTTTCCATAAACAAAGCCTTAGGCCTTTCTCTTAGGGCACCTCTGTAGGGATCCAAACCTCTAACTTTGGGTTAGTTGCTAAGCACCTTAATTATTTGCTACGCCCCAGACTTTTATGTTTTTCTTTACCATTCAACTTAGGATTTTAATTTTTTCCCCACACACTTTTACCTTTAATAGTTTCTTCCTAGAATTGATTCTGCCTTCTAGAATTTTTAAATTCAATCCTAGAATATATGCATACTCCTTGTCTCCCTATTACTTTACTGTCACTATGTGTATTTAAATATTTTTGAGTCTTCAAATAGAATGATGCAATTAAACAGGTAGGATGGTGTGTACTTTATTTATTACATTTGGTTACTCTTATTATCTATTTCATCATGGAAAACATCTAATAATATTTTAGATTTTAAAATGCTTAATTAGAGGCACAGGTTTAAAAACATATGCCCCAGACTCTAAGCATGGTGAATGGGGAAGGAACTAACACAAGGAAAGAGAGAAAGGGAGCCTTGTATTTTTGTATTTAATTTATTTGAAATTTAAATTAACAGAAAAGTGAAGTATATTTTTATATTTATATCTATTGAGTTAGACTCTCCCTCCAAGTGGGGGTGGGGGAAATGCCTATTTGTTCCATATTCAATTGAAGTCGGCTTCATACTCTGGGGGTGGATCTTAAACAGAAAACCAGAGTTCCTTGCCCTTGTGGAGTTTCCATTCTCATAAAAGGAGACAGATATGAAATCATCACAGTCCACCCCTTGACACCAGTATATTCCCTTGAACCATAAATAATCTCTAAATAAAGACAATTATAAAATCCTACTTTCACCTAAAATGATACAACTAACCTGTATAGTGCCCGAAACTCATGACCCATCTAAATATTGCACTTTGTAATCAATAATGGAATAATACCAGGCCCCCGTGCTGCAATTGTTAAATGCTCAGCTGCAAACCCAAAGGTCAGTGTTTGAACCCACCAGCTTCTTCATAGGAGAAAGGTGTGGCAATATGCTTACATAAAGATTTACACACTTGGAGGCCACAGGGGACAGCTCTACTCTTTCCTATAAGGTAGCTATGGATCTGACAAAATATGATGGGAATGGGTTTGGGTTTTCTGGTGTAGTGGAATAAGGGAGGAAGAGAAACAACTCTATCTATCACAAAGCAAGGAAGAAATATAACAATCACACTCGTTCATGTAGAGCTTGACCTGTGTCTGAGGTTTCTAGCTCATCGCTTTCTCTGTCCACTTTGTCTAACAAATGTTGAACCAACCAACTAGCTTCCTTATGCTTCTCATTCTGACTAAATTATTGTTTTAAATACCAAATATGTTATTACCCAAAGCTTTGATATCTCACAAATATTTGATTCAATGGTGATGATATTTTGTTTATTTTTATCATCTCATATCATGGGTTAGCAATACTTTCTTTTCAAATTGAGATAAGAGTTGTCATATTTTAAAGACTAACCTGACTTGAAAACCAATTTAAAAAAATTCATCCTTAAGATGAATTTGTTCCTCTAGGACTGTCCTTGGGACCAAATGCCGGGTTCTCGAAAGGAGTAAAACCAGTAAAGATTATATAAAATTAAATACAAAGAGATTTATGTCAAGGAAATGGGTCATATAATCATGGCAAAACTCAAAACTGTATGCCAGCGGTAGGTTGGAAACTTCTCATAATAAACCCAACATCTGCAGGTCAGACAGCAGGCTGCTCACATCAGACCACAAATGAGAGAATAATATATAATATCTGCTAAATCCCCGAGAATCATAGCCTAGCCAGGTTGACCCATGACCTTAACCAGCACAGTGCACTGTACCAATAATTGTTTCTTTTCACAGCTTTCTGTGCGTGCTCAGCTTGGTGAAAAATCAGAACAGTTGCTGAAAAGGGGAATGAGTATTCCTGATATGTTGCTAGTTAGCATCATGGTTAATGCTATTAAGTATGTATTGCATTTTTCTTTTTGGGGGAGTGGGAATGTCTAGTATATTATTTATCACACAGGTATATAAAGATGAATATAGAAATATTGCCAATTTTTAGTAACTAATGAATACTACTCAATTACATAAGAAAACATATAATAAGGTAAAGGTATGTTTTGTATATATTTGTATGTTTACATTTATCTGCCAGTCTTTACCAACTTTGACATGTTTTATGCAGATAGTCATGTTCTGGTCACTATTGGGAGCTCAAGAAGAAAGCAGATCATGGAAAAAGGGACATGTTATAGACGAGAGGCCCTGTGTGTTATCACAAGCCATGGGTTCTTCTGTTTCAGGAAGTGAGGATCAAACTTAGGCTTACACCGCTGGGCAGGAAGACAATAAGAAGCAGCAGTAGCCTTGCCAGCCTGTGTGATCATGAAGTGTCGATGGGATCAGGTGTCAGCCATTAATGACCCAGAACAAAAAATCATGCCAATGGGAATGGGGGATGTGGAAGGGCGGAGTGCTGAGTGGAGGTCCAAAGCCAACCTGTAGGCACTTGGACATTCCCTTATAGAGGGGTCTCTGGGAGAAGACAGGCCAGTCAGGGTGCAGTATAGCACCAATGAAATATACACCTTTCCTCTGGTTCTTTGATGCTTCCTCACCCCCACTATCATGACCCTAATTCTACCTTACAAATCTGGCTTCCTCACCCCCACTATCATGACCCTAATTCTACCTTACAAATCTGGCTTCCTCACCCCCACTATCATGACCCTAATTCTACCTTACAAATCTGGCTAGACCAGAGCATGTACATGGGTACAGATAAGAAACACAGGGAATCCAGGACAGATAAACTCCTTGGGACCAATACTGAGAGTAGCCATTCCAGGAGGGGAAGGGAAAGGTGGGGTGGGGTGGGGGGGGGGAATCGACCACAATGACGTACCTATAACCCCTCCCAGGGGGCTGGACAGCAGATAAGGGTGTAAAGGGATACATCGGATAGAGCAAGATATGGAAAATAATAATAATTTATAAATTATCAAGGGCTCATGAGGGAGGGAGGGAAGGAATAGGAGAGAGGGAAAAAATGAGGAGTTGATACCAAAGGCTTAAGTAGTAAGAAAATGTTTTGAAAATAATGATGGCAACAAATGTACAAAAGTGCTTGACACAATGGATGGATGGATGGATTGTGAGGAGTCGTATGAGTCCCCAATAAAATGATTTTTAAAAAGAAGAGCACCAGTAGCAGAGTCAGGGGATAGCCATGCAAATGTGACTGGGAAATAGAGGATAAAGGGGAAATGATTACCCCCCCCCCCCGTTTCCTCCATCTTCCCCTCCATACCCCTAAGGAATCATTAATCCATTAGTGATTTACACGTCCTGTGTTTCATATACAGAGAAACATTTTAAAAAACTAACAATCACAGAAAATATCAATCAAAAATAAAGCAAAGAATATTAAAAACTAGAACAAATTGAAAATGGATCAAAAGAGAGATCAGATGATAAAGGGTTAAAGTTTAACCTAACTGCATCTGAAAAAATCTACTGATCCAATTTTAGAACAAAGGGTTCCCCAAAATTTATTGTGACAACAATTGTACAGCACTCTTAGAATGATTGAACTATTGAGTGATATGATTGGTGCATTATATGCCAATAAAAGGTTTTTTTAATCAATATGTTATTTTGTAATCCTTCCCTTCCTGCTTTCTAAGAGGAAAAAATCTCCTCAACTCTCCTGTGCAACATGGAACCAAGGTTATGAGAGAAGAGAGAGGCCTAAGGAAGCCAGAGAGCCTCAATTAATCATGATAATAAATAAATGAGTCTGACATGGAAGATCTCTGAAGATATAGGTACTATAGCAACGTGTGGTGAAAAAAATCAGATCGTGTCTGTGTATGAGAAAGAATAGTGTCAAGGATTTTTTAAAGATAATTTTATTGAGGATTCTTACAGCTCTTATAACAATCCATATATCAATTGTATCAAGCATATTTGTACATATGTTGCCATCATTATTTTACAAACATTTACTTTCTATTTGAGCCTTTGGCATCATCTCCTCTTTTTCCCTCCCTCTCCTCACCCATTCTTGTGACCCCTTGATAAATTATAAATTATTATTTTCATATCTTACACCTACCATAGTCTCCCTTCCCCCACGGTTTCTGTGTTCCAACATTTATTGTCTCCCTTCCCCCATGCTTTCTGTTGTTCCTCCCCCATGGTGGGGCGGGGAGAGGGTAAGTGTCCATCATTGTGATCAGTTCTCCCTTCCTCCCCTCCGCGTCCCACCTACCCCCTACCCTCCTGTCATGGGCTCTTATCCGTCCCGGTATACATATTCTGGTGGAGCCAGAACTGAAAGGCAGGACTGGGTTCATGGTAGTGGAGGGTAAGGAAGTCTCAAGGAACCAGAGGAATATTGTGTGTTTCATCCGAGTTATACTGCTCCCTAGTTGACTCATCCCTTCCTTGTGACCCTTTTGTGAGGGGATGTCCCATGTCTGGGGGTCTCTGTTCCAACCCACCTTGTTCTCAATAATATGTTAGTTAGTTAGTTAGTTAGTTAGTTAGTTAGTTAGTTAGTTAGTTAGTTAGTTAGTTAGTTAGTTAATTTTGAGTCTTCTGATGCCTGTTACTTGATCCCTTCAACACCTCATGATCGCACAGGCTGGTGTGTTTCTCCCATGTTGATTCTGAGCTAGATGGCCACTTGCTTATCTTCAAGCCTTTAAGACCCCAGATGCTATATCCTTTGATAGCTGGGCACCATCAGCTTTCTTCATCAT